CGTGTCCCCTCTGGGTGCCCGGGCGCCCCCGACCCCGCCTGTCCAGAAGGGCCTTCCCGCGCCGGGCGATGCCGCGCCGGGCCCGGGGCCGCCGCCGCCGCTGCCCTGCGCCCCGGGGAGCCGCCCGAGGTAAGCGGGACCCCGGGGGGCCTGCGGGCTGAGCTGCCGCGGCCGGCGGGCAGCGCCCGCCCCCGACGAGGCCCGGCCGGCGTGGGAAGGGGGCTCTGGACAGGCGGGGTCGGGGGCGCCCGGGCACCCAGAGGGGACACGGCCCGGCGGGGCGGCCCCACTCGGGCCCCGGGGTGGGCGTCCGTGCGGTGAGGCCGTGCTGAGCTGGGGCTTGGGGTACCCCCAGTCTCTCCGGAGGCTCGGGAAGGCCGTGGAGTGACAGGCGGGTGAGCCCCAGCCGTGTGGCGCGCTCCAGATGTGCCACATCCATGAGCTCCCCCAAGCTCACCGGCCTCTGATCTCTTCCCCCTGAGAGTCACCTGTGTCTGGCAGCTTCAGGCTTCGCTGCCTCCCACAACATGCAAGGATGCTGCTGGGCCCAGGGATGCACGACTGTGCCGGACACCTGCTCCCTCAGCCAAAAAGCAGGAGTTCAGGTAGCTTGTGCTCAGGGCCCTGTGCCATCAGTTTCAGCACCAGGAGCATCCGTGTGCAGAGGCGACCATTAACTGTGCGGTCTCCATCCTGCTCTCAAGTGCTTGCTCCATGGTCAAATGCCACCCACACACTGCCCACTGGATGACCAGGATGGTGTCCCGGTGCCCCTGCATGGCCCAGGTGTGGCTGAAGCGAGCTCTGCGTGGGCAGCCATCGTGCAGCACTGTGCCACACAGTCATCAGCCCAGCTTCATCCTCCATTTCATCCAGGGGGCTGGCTCCCCTCCAGAGCAGCTGCTGAGTTGTGCCTGGCGAGGCCCCGACTCTGTCCTCCCTCTCTGCCTCTGACAGCAGCTGCCTGCAGCTGTGCTTGGTCAGGGGGAGGAAGTCTGACAGTCCTGGTGCCATACAAAGCACACAGGTGCTTTGCTCTGCCCTAGCCCAGGAAAGCTGAGCATCCTGCCAAAATTGAGGGCCTGTTGCAGAGCTCCTTGTGTCCTGGAGCTGTGGGCTGGTGCTGCTTTTCCTTGCTTTCAGTTTATGGTGTTGGGGCAGGGTAGGCATGGGCAAACAGCTCTAGGCAAAGCTCTTGGGGACCATGAACCTGAAGGAAACTGAATATTGGGCTGATTTCTTCCCTCCCACCCCACAGGATAGCTAGGCTAAAAATAACCCTTCATCTTGTGCTGTGGATGAGAATAAGGAGACTAAAAAGAACAGTCCTGGATCATAGCAGTTAAGGGCCTGCTTGGGTTAAATGCATTGTTGTGGTCTTATATGCCTTGGGGGGAAAAATATAACCAGTGTCACTGGCTGGGAAGTCTAATGGAAAATAAGGCATATACCCTTCATGGTGGCAGAGACTAGCCAGTGTGATGAGCTACCAGAAGAGGCAATGGTATCCCAAGTGCTTGAAGTGTCCCAAGTGTCCAGCCTGTCCCACTATGTGCATCCTAGGAGCTGGGCTTCAGACATCATGGGCCACCAGGATGGCCTGGTCAGGAGTCTCAGGAGCACTTTGGCTAGAAGTCTGCAGGTTTGGAACAAACCAGGCACGTAGGATGGTTGAAATCTATGAACACTCCCCTCCCTTCTTTCAGCCATCCACAGCTGTTGGGTAGAGGGCAGCAGAAGGGGGCTCAAGGGTGGGGATAGGAAATCTCAGCAACTCCCTGACAACCCTGCTTGTTCTTCTGTGCAGGATGGTTCCCCCACCACCTGTCAGCAAGCCCCACGTGTGCCTCTCCACTGTGCTCATCATGACCAGCCTCGTCCTCATGGATGCCTACCTGGTGGAGCAGAGCCAGGGCTCCAGGAAGTTGGGCATCTGTGTCATGGTGGCAGTGGGTGACTTGTGCTTCCTGCTGGTCCTCCGCTATGTGGCCATCTGGGTCGGGGCAGAGGTAAAGACAGCTAAGCGGGGCTATGCCATGATCCTCTGGTTCCTGTATGTCTTCGTTCTGGAGATCAAAGTCTACTTTGTGTACCAGAATTATAAAGCTGACCGGAAAAGCTTGGACCTCATAGCTCGTAAAGCATTGACCTTGCTGCTCTCCATCTGCATCCCAGCCCTCTATGTGTTGTTGGTGGCCACAGAGCATATGGAGTATGTCAGAACATTCAAGAAGAAGGAAGATCTACGCAACCGCCTCTTCTGGGTCATTGTGGACATGCTGGATGTGCTGGACATCCAGGCCAACCTGTGGGAGCCACAGAAGAAGGGGCTGCCGCTCTGGGCTGAGGGCATCATGTTCTTCTACTGCTACATCTTGCTCCTGGTCCTCCCGTGCGTGTCCCTGTGTGAGATCAGCATGCAGGGCATTGGCATCGTGCCACACCGGATGATGCTGTACCCCATGCTGAGCATGCTCACTGTAAACATCACCACCATATTCATCCGAGGCAGCAACATGGTCTTCTTCAGGGATGCCCGGGTCTCCAGCATCTTCATGGGCAAAAACATGCTTGCCATTGGGATGAAGGTCTGTATGTTTGTGCAGTACCAGCGGCACCAGCACCACACACCTTCGGGGCCAGACCTACAGCACAGTGACCCAGCCCAACTGCCCACAGTAGGGTTGCGCAAGTCCCGGGACCAGCCTGCCTGCCCCGAGGAGCTGGCCCGGGACAACACGTGACAAGCCAGCAGGAGCTACAGCCTGGGCACCACCATGCCTGGCAGTACCTACAAACCAGAGGCCGCTGAGCTCCCCACCTGGACAGAGGGCAACGACCCTGCTCCCTCCCTCCCTGGGCGAAGCTGCTCAGGGCCCCGAGGGTCACATGGTGAGGGCCCCCTGTAGTGGCCTCCATAAGGCTGCAGAGACCTCAGCACCCCACCAAGTAAACAGGCAGCAGCGTAGAGGAGGAGGCCAGGGTTGCCTGCCAGGTGTTGTGTCTGGGTGGGGCCAGGCAGCCCTATCTTGTGCCAGGCTCCCCCACCAGTGCTCCCCATACAGCACTGCACTCTGGCCAGGCAGGGCACCACACAGGGACACAGCAGGTCACCTGCTTTACTGTTGTGGATGGCCCTGGCTCCAGTGTGGTCCTTGGCAGCAACCTGCTCCCCACTGTGTAAGCCAAGGCCCCCATGCAGGAGGAGCAACGCCTGGGCCTTCCCCTCTCAGCCAGCTGCAGGCCTGGGGGGACCCAGAAAGGGGTGACTGTCCTTTTTTGTATTATCTCCCTCTTTGCAATAAAAGACCTGAGCCCTGCAGCCTTCTCCTGTCTGTGTCCCCGGCAGCAGGCAGATCCCCCCACCACTCCTGTGTGTGCGTGTCCCTTGTGTGCCTGTAAGTCCAGCTGCAGCGCATGTGGAGAGGCTTGCTCAGTGACTGCCTAGGCCTGGGGAGAGCATCCCAGATACCTGGGTCTGAACATTTGGGAGAGGAGAGGCGGGTCCTTGTGAGAGTCAGGTGGGCTCTGAGGGTGTCACTGGTGGGGTAGGTGTGGCAGCTTTGTCAGTCACCACTGCCTGTGCACAGCTGCAGTTACATCAGCTGGTACCAGCCTGCTCAGGGACACCCATAGCAAGTCCCCACGCTTCACCTGGAGGGACACCAGTGCAGGTCTGGAAGGGACACACTGCCCAAATCACCTTAGAAACAAGGAAAATAACCCAAACTGCTTGAGGCTGGGAGGCTACAGGAAAGAGCAGCTTCCTGGCAGTAGGAGGCTCCGTGGAGATGGTGGAAGCATCTCCTCTTGGAGCTGGTGTTGCCATGCTGCTGCCTGCCCAAATACCCAGTGACACCTCACTACTGGCTGAGTTGGGCAATGCCCAAGGACTTCCCCTGATGCGGGGTGCTGGGCCCAGGAGCTGGCACGTACAGAGGCCAGCAGGCTCACTCCTCACTACTAACATACTGAGCAGAAGCAGGTGACATCCCAGCGAGGATGCTTTCCTTGCAGGCTGTGCTGGTTTTAAAAACTCAGCGGGGAGAAAAAAAGTTAAGACTGCTCAAGCCACCCCTTACGATGGTGGAGGGGGAAAACAAAAAAAGACTGTGAGAGGTTAAAAAACGTTAGTCTCACAATTTTACTGAGGTAAAACTCAAAAATAACACAGCAATACAGAGGAAAAAGAATGGTTTACCCACAAAACCAACAAAGGTAAAAAATTGTTACGTTCCTCCCACACACCTAGGGCAAAACCAAAAGAAATGGTTCCCGTTCCCACTGCGCCGGCCCCACGTGGTCCAGGGGAACAAAGAAAATAATGTGGCAAAGAATCCCCGCGGCCCGACGCCCTCCCCAGCCAGGCAAAAACCACGGGGGAAACACGAACAAAACAGAAACCTGGAAGACGATTTAGTCTGGAAGGAGTTATGCTGCCGAGATGCTGGCGTGGGTCCCGGTGTAGCGGCGGCGTGGGCGCAGGGGGCTCTTAGTTCCCTGCTGTGCGCCTCGAAAAAGCGACGGTGGCAAAAACGCGTCGGCGGCTTTCAAAAGCGGGAAGCGGCGATCCGCTAAGGGATTGCGCAAACCCCGGGAGCGACGTGCGGTCCAGGGCCGTCCCCCTCCTTTTGAAGGTGCAGAGACTCCGCTTTCAGTAGCCGCGGCGGCTTCTCTCTGTACTGAGCAGCCACACAGTCTAGGTACCCCCGATCTTACATCCTCTCTCCACAGCCGGGATGTAGCAGGCGGCGGCAGGCTGCAGGGTATCTCGGTGGCTGCGAAAATAGCTCCGGAGCGACTCTGGACCCGTCGGGACGGTGCCTATCCCTACTTTTGGAGGAAAAGCAGACGGCATTCCCGGTGGCACCGAGCAGCCATACGGTCTCTGGGATCCTAGACCTGCACCCTTTCTCCTCCGGAGCGCGCCGCCAGCAGCCCTTACTCCTGCTTCCGACGTAGGACCATCTGAACTTAGCAACTGTCTCGCAACTGTCTCGGCGTGTTTATGGTGGAAACCACGCTCGCTCGCTGTGACGCGAGCATATTGAATATTCAACACTAAAGCTCCACCCCTTTGCTTTGTAAGCAAAGTAAGGCGTACAGGCCTCAGCAAGAAGATGCCCTTTGGCTCCAGAGGGGCAAGAGGGAAAAGCAAGACCACTTTGGGGGTCCACCAGACTTGCCACCTCCTGTACAGGACCTACAAGTGCCCTACATGGGGACACATGTGCTCAGAAATGCTGAGGAATGCCACATGGCCCCTCAGCAAGGCTGCGGCAGCAGGTCTCTAGCTGAGCTGGCACATCCCATTTCTACCACCTTCCCCCATTTACACTAAGACCTGTCAGCACAGCATCACCCACAGGAACTGCAGTGGAGGCAGGTGCTTTAGCAACACCCAATGAGCTGCTCATTGTTCCATGTTTTGCTTATAGCAATGCCTGTCCCCTGGCCCCACACAACTGTGGCCCACCTGACACAGCACAGCTCTGTGTCCTGTTCTGCAGAGCCAAGGCACGCTCCCAGCACCAGCTCCAACCTGTAAGACAGGGATCATCCAACTCACCTCCTTATCAGCACAACAGCAGGCAGGGGTAACCAGAGTAAGGAGAAACAAGAGAGCTGGTGTTCAAACATAGTATTGGAGAGAGGCATTAACTCCCCTAAATTCAAGCACTTTTGACTGTAACAGCAACAACACTGGGAATAAAGGAAAACCAGTATTTTATTTCATACAGAATCAGCTTCCCAGAAGCACTAACAGCCTTGTGGAGACAACCATGAGAAGCCAAGGAGAGAGGCCAAGCTGCTCTGAAGGAGAGATCAGGAGTAGCAGTAGCTGAGCAGTCAGCAGCATGCCCTGTGAGAGAGGAAGGCCAGCCACAGCTGGGTCTGCATCACTAGGTGCAGCCCATGCAGAGCAGTGTGATCCTCTTCCCTTTACTCAGCCCTTGTGACACTACATCCAAATATTGCATCCAGGTTGGGCCACCAAAAGAGAGATGGTTGTCTGGGCTGACTCCACTTCAGTATGTGAAAGTCGTCAGAGGTTGAAGCACTGCAAGGAAAGACTGAGGGAACAGGGTTTATTGACCCTTAAGAAGAACAGACTTTGCAGAGACCTTACAGCTCCTCTTTTCCACCCACCCCTCAGACCTGTGACAAGGCTACTGAAAGACAGCCAGGCACTTCAGTGAGAACAAGACAATGATATGGATAGCACCAGGCAGGTTTCCTGGATAAGGGAACAAAAAGTTCCACCTTGAGAACCTGAAGCAGTAGAGCAGAGGCTAGGAGAGGTGGTGGCATCTATCCTGGGACATTAACAGACCCCACCAATGCATCCCATGGCAACCTGGTCTGAAGTCAGTGCCAGCCCTGCTTTGAACAGGTCCTTTTCCACCTCAGTGGAAGTCTCAGAAAACCTGGAGTAGAGCCAGCAATGCAGGGCAGGACTCATGCTTTCCTTGCTAGAGTTAGAAATGAGCAGGTGCAAGGACAAAAACAGCTTGTCAACACTGTAAGCATCTGCACGACACACTTGTCACCACCCATGGTCTAAACTACAAGTTAAGAGGATATTTCAGCTACAAAAACCCCACTATTTCGTTCAGTTCAGCCTCTGCTCTGCTGCCTTACAGTATCACTGTGCAGTGGAAGGCAGATATTGGGAAGAAGGATAGCCATCTTCCAGGCCTGGCCAAGGCAGAATGAGTCCCAGTGCCAGACAACAGCACATCTGTCCAACGTCACAAGTTCTTCTGTGAGGGTAGACGGTGCTTGTCTTTGATGGCATTTCTCTTCCTCTTCTTGTTAAGGAAGCTCTCCAGCTTTCCACTCCTCTTCAGCTCTGCATACTTCTCAGCTAGCTCCAATTTCTGCTTCTCAGCTGTAGAGGAGAGGGAAGCAAAGTTTTAAACCGAAGCCCAAAACACATCTACAGACCAGCCCGTCCTCACCTCTCCCTCCCTGGTTCCCAGGCTTAGCTTGCCCATTGAGCACCAGTACTAGAAAAATCCCTCCATGGCTCTGTGGAATAGTATGGACACCTCACTTCAGGTGCTTGAATTCCTGTCAGCAGTACTCCCTCTAGGTCTTCCTGCAGCATGTTCACACTGAATACTTACATTTCTTTAGGAAAAAGGGTCTCTTTCCCTGTTTGGCCAATTCCCTCTGTTGTCTCTTCAAAGACAGCTCTCTTTCCCTCAGCTTCTGCTGTTTTTTCTGTGCCTGTTCTTGCTGTGTCTGTACAAAAGAGATGGCCTGTGTCAGCATCGAGGCAGACCTCAGGTCACACATCTTCTCTTCCAGTGCCTCACAGAGAGACGCTGTGCTGAACTCACCATACGGTTCAGAAGCTGCTGAAGTTTCTCCTTCTGCTCCATGTTCCGGCATTTCTTCAGTTGCTTCTGAACCATCTAGAAGAGAGCAGAAAGCTACATGACTGCCTGTCTGTCACCTCCACTGTGAAAAGCCTTGGAAGAAGTAGCCCCTGCCAAGCAAGGTTCTTCCAGGCAAGGACAGGCACAGAGCATCACCTCCTTCTCCTGCTTCTTGATGCTGTCCAGGAAGCTGTATGTCTTCATAAATATTTCAGGCTTATACTCTCCAGACAAGTCATCAAATCGAGGGTCTCTGTGGACCTGATGGCAAGGAAGGCAAAGGCAAGAGCTGTAGCCAGGATTATCCTATTAATAGCCTGCTTACTCTCCTTTCACAGATCAGACCTTGCCATTTTTTTCACCAGCAATATTACACACCCACCATTGAAACATCTGCATTTGGCAAAGACTGACTGCCATGATTAAGGTGGCAGTCCCTCACAAAGTCAAGCCTGCATCCAGTCTACCAAACAACAGACATTTCCATATGCAAGTCTACACCCAGGAGTATCCAATTCAAGGAACAGGAGCAGGAGTGCTACCTCCAAACACTTGCAACTCCCAGACCAAGAGTTTGCTTAATATGTGTTGCCAAGGTGATGGATTTGGGAACTCAAACCTATCTAGATTTTCACAGATTAACTGGGTCAGGTCATAAAAAAGGGAGAGATAAAAAGAGATCTCTAACTGCAGAAATCAACATATTCAGATGATCCAGCAATAACAAGTCAAAGTTACATTCAGATTAGAAAGTAGATGGACATTTGAATTTCTGGGATTAGTACTGAACAGTGACTGTGGCTTGCAGTGAAATTGTCATTGGTGGGAGTCATTACATCTTCTAGAAACACTTCGGACACAAACACTGAAGTTAACCTGCAGCTGCTCCTGCACCCATCCCTTCTTCTCCCCAGGGAAACACTATCACTGTCTGCAC